TTTTCCTAGCCGATAAGTGATGATGAACTCGAATCTTGATAAAGATATGCTCCAATGAGCTTGACGATGATTTAATACGCGTGCTGACATAAAATACTTGAAGTTCTTGTGATCCGTATACACGATGAGTGGACTGGAAGCGCCTTCTAGATAATGACACCATTCTTAAAAAGAATCCACAATTGCAAGAAGTTATTTGTCATGGATCTCATAATTGATTTCTGCTGCTGAGAATTTTCTTAAATGAAAGGCTACTGGATGAAGTTTGTCATCTGTTCCCATTTGTGATAAAACCGCACCCAAAGCAAAGTCTGATGCATCTGTTTCCATAAAGAATACTTTGAAAAAATCAACACGATACAAGATTGGTGCAGAAACAAACACTCTCTTCAAAGAGTCAAAAGCAACTTCCGCTTCTTGATTCCATTGGAGTTTGTCTTTACAAGTCAAACGTGTAAGTAGAGCTGCTACTCGAGAGAAGTCTTTGATAAAGATTCGATAGTAGTTGGCAAATTTCAAAAAGCATTAGACATCTCTTATCGTTTTTGGAATCTTTCAATCTATAATAGTTTGAACTTTCTTAGGATCCATCATAAATCCATCATTTGAAATGATGTAACCTAAGAAATCAACTTGAGTAGTGTGGAATACATACTTTTCTATCTTGGCATAGAGTCCTGCATCTCTTAATTTTTGTAATACACGACGAATATGAAGTTCATGTTCTTCTAGATTCTTAGAATAGAATAAGATGTCATCTAGATAACAGACCACAAAATCATCCAAAAACTCTCAAAAAACATCATTCATTAGATGTTGAAAAGCTACTGGTGCATTTGTAAGTCCAAAAGGCATGACGTTGTATTCAAAATATCCATACCTAGTTTGAAATGCAGTCTTCCATTCATCTCTTTCTTTGATACGTACTAGTTTGTATGCTCCCCGGAGATCTATTTTTGTATAGATCTTAGCTTGATTCAGTTGATCAAGAAGTCCACATATTAAAGGTAGTGGATACTTGTTCTTGATGGTAATCTTGTTGAGTCCTCGATAATCAACACACATCCACAATGATCCATCTTTTTTCTTCACAAATAGAATTGGAGCTCCTGCTGGAGATTTAGAATGGCGTATGAAATTCTTGGCTAGATTTTCTTCAATATACTCCTTGAGTTTAGTCAACTTATTTTTTTATAAACTGTAGATTGGTCCGAATGGCGGTTGTCCTCTTTCTTGAAGGTCAATTGAGCAATCATAGGGATGATGTTCCGGGAGTGTATCCACATTTTTTTTTTCGAATACATCTTGAAATTCTTGATATTGGCTTGGAATGCCACTTGAAGTCTTTCTACTAGTAGAAACAAGTGTGGCATAAATAATATATGGTGATTCTTTGGTGATTCTTTCATAGCAGCATCCAAGAAAGCTTTTGCACCTATAAATACGGATTTGATTGAAGTGGATTTATGACTCTCTATTTAATTAACTACACTGTTAATTATACTTTTAGAGAAAGTAAGAGTTTGAAAAATCCAATCTATTTGAGGATTGTATTTTTCTAACCATGATAAACCTAAAATGACTGGATTAGAGGGAGATCTAATGATATTAAATACTACAAAGCTATTATGACCATTGATTATTACTTCTATAAGAGGGATTTTGTGAGTAATATCCCAGAAGACAATGGACGACCATCTATGACTTCTGCATGAATAGGTTTATTTTCCTTTACTAAAAATATGCTATATCTTTTAGTAAATTCTTCATCTAAGAAACACATCGAGGCTCCTGAATCTAACAAGGCAGAGGCTTTGTAATATTTAGGTCCTAAAATAACATTTAATATAAAATAAGGAGGGGGCTCTGAAGAGAGAATAGGACCTTTACTAAATATTATGCAAGGTTCCAGCCGCACAGTCCCTATTGTAGCTGGACAAACTCGTTTTTCGACATATTGTCTTCTTTCACAGCCATACTCCTCATTTTGTCATTGCGTCATTTTTTTGGATAATCTTGAGTACTGTGCTTTGGTTCTCCACAACTTAAACATAATCCTTCTTGACGACGACGAGTTTTTTTTTGCTTAGTAAGAAGTTTGAAACATACTGCATCAATTTGCATATCCTCTACTTCCGAATGTATGTATTGAAGAAGTGTTGGTATTGCCATTGAATTATAGTAATGTTGAGGTCTACTTATATGGTTCTTAGATCAAAATTCAAAAAGATAATTATTGCACTTCACAGCAAAGTCAATTGCTTGATTCAATGTTTGAGGATCAAGTAAGTTGAGCATTAATTTTTTTACCTCATATTGTAATCCGTAGAGAAATTAGCTAATAAGTGCAGTATCATTGTACTTGATATCAATTGCAAGTTGTCAAAATTGTAAAGCATACAACGTTATTAATCGATTGTCTTGTCGCAAAATATAGATCTTATTGGTTGTAACATGAATTATATCATGTTCTCCATACATGGATTGAAACTCCATCAGAAAATCCTCTAGATTATCTAACATTAGATCTCATCGTTCAAGAAAAGATGAAAACCATGATAGTACTGAACCTGAAAGAAGCGTACCAATGAATCTAACTTGCGATCCTGGAGTTGGATAGCTATGGGATTGAAGTTCAATCATAAGTTGCACTTGATTGATAAATCCTCGAAACTTGGATCTGGTGCCATTAAACTTCTCAAGTAGGGCAATTCTTGATTCTCTAATACTGGAAAGGCATTCCACCATAGGAGAAGGGATATGATTTGATGCAAATATTGAAGCAGCTGCAATCATTTCTATATCTTTACTTCCTGTCAATTGTGTTGCTCCTTGTGGTGGTAAATTGAGTTGATGCATTGCAAGCATTAACTCCCTCAATTGCTCTTGTATTTGTGCCATTGCACTCTTCATTTCAACAAGTTCTACTATAATAACACTTAGAAAAGAAAAGATGTCTAATATCGCTCAAGACAAATAGAAGAGAGGACTTGAGAACAAAGAAAATACTAAGAACAATATCAGTTTAGAAGACGGTAATCCGTAACTTCTAATATGCTTATATCTTATCAACAAAAAAGGGTAATCCACTCTTAATCAAGATTAGACAAAGCTCTGATATTGTAGGTATATTCTTGTCAATCTGTCAAGGACAAGAACTCGATGAAAAAGTAATTCAGACAAGTGAGCCTTCACTCAAAGAAAGATAACAAAATATAAATAAACAAGTATATATATTGAAAGAAAAACTAGAATGGCTATTGCCAAAAGACAAGAAAACTAGAGACCCTTGAAACTAGACTGGAAGTAAGAAAAGAGTTGACAAAAGTGAAGAAGGCTTCACTCTTGTCTCTATATATATTATCTAACTAGGGGCTACGTGGCGACGTTCTATAGGACCTCCAATATATGTTGACTTTGTAGGACACATGCCTTGACTTACAAGGCAAGTTTTTCTACATATGGACCATATAGTTAGCTTGATCTTTAAGCTAACAACATGTGTGGCACATGGCTAACTTGTTGACCACGTTTCTAATCCAAAAAGTCAATTAAAGACACCAATGAAGTCAAAGCAACGTCTATGAAGCTTCTAGGAAGCTTCCATATTAAATACTACAGAATTAACTTATTTTTATCTACTTTTATTTACTTCTACCTATTTGTATATGTAATTACTAGCTTACATGAGTATGTCCGTGACAACAAGTTAACTCCATGTACTAGCTTGTGAAATACGCTAGTTATGTGGCCCATACATAGATAACTAAAATTGAATGTTAATTTATATTATTATTATTATTTTATAAATTATTTATATATATATATATTTCTCATCTTTTTAATATTTTCTTGTCAACTTATTTATTGTCATCTTTTTAATATTTTGCATGTACTTAAAACTTCAATTTTATCCAAACAATATATTTTATATTTTCTTGTATATATTATGTGTCAAGAACATGAAACTAAAATAACTTGTCAAAAGATTATATGGTAAAGAATAAAACAAGTAAATATTTTTCTAGAATGAGAAGACACGAAAAGGGTTACAGCCAAATAAAATGAATAATTCAATGATTTTAGAAATGAAAACCACATCAACGGATAAACCACGCAATGAAAACAGAAATATCCATCTCTAGTTAGCTTTTACAGCAATCAATGTCCTCTTACACGAAAACAGGAACATACTAAAACCAGATCAATCTGCATCCAGTCGTATCCATTAATTTATGGCAGTGTAACACATTTGAAAAGAACGACTGATGCCACGAAGTCTAAGAATCCGAGAAGCATGATGAGTTGTTGCCGCGGAGGAGCAGTGATTCATTCCAACACAGCTTCTATTGCGGCAGAGCGAGAGCAACATCTGCAAATCGCGACGCCATGTCCAGCAGCATCCATCGAGCGTTTCAAGGATCGGATCCAATGGCGCTGCTTGTCCGGCTAGGGGGATGAATGCTCACAGGAACTAGGTCATTTCGAATGCCGCAGCACAAATTCCTCCGTCAGCAATGACAACCAGTGCCCAATCCGCTGGCAAAATCCCGCGGCGTTATGCCCGAAATAGCAGAGGCAAAGAGCAACCCAAACGAAAGCCTAAATGGAAGTCCACTAGAACGTGGGCAGACCGGACCCGTAGCTACTCTTCACTACTCATCCAACAAGATGACCCTATACCGGGCACTGTACCGGGTGGGTGTATTCGATTCCAATGGAGCAATCTAACGGCTAATGTTATCCCTGGTGTAAAAATAGTAACACTCTGTCGTTGAAGTGGAGTGAACAGACCCATGTAGCGGCTAACCCCGGTAAAGTTTCGAACCGATCGTGGTGATACGTTCGCGCGCGGTTGACGATCCGATTGCACTGCATTGATGGTGATGAGTGCAGGGCCGTTCTCGCATTGTCGCAGGAGATTGATCGCGTCGTTGGGAGATGACAAGGAATCTGCGACTGGTCGCGGATGAAAAGCAAGCGATTTGTCTCAGGTCGAATCGAGCTGTATCCTTCACTCCGACTCTGTCTTACACTTGCAATGTGCTCATCTCAAGAGTAGTTGTCGATTGACCCTGGATGGATTAATTAACGGCAGTGAGAGGGCAGCATTTGAAGTTCTCGTCGTAGAGGAAGAGAAAAAGGTTGTAGTGGTTTCGAGAAAGCAGTGATGGAAGTGGGGAGGTTTGTTAGACCAGGTTGAGAAAAAAGGTTTGGGGGCTCCCGCGCGAACAGTGCCGGATTTGTAGCGGAATGGGTGTTGTTGTCTTTGTGGAGCGTTTTTGGTGAGGCTTGTGGCTAGCGTTGCGATCGGGGTTGAATTGTTCCAGAGGCGGGATGGAATGTTAATCGCCCATGGGCCGACAAGGGGGGTGCTATGGTTGTTGGAGGTTGGAGTTGGTTTTGAGAACGAGTTGTTGACATAAATTTTGAGCTGTTGATCGTGTTGAGTTTGTTGTTGAACGTGGCGCACGTCCGATCTGAAAGCCTGGTGCAGGAGATGAGCAGCGTAGGACGAGGTCGCGGAGTCTGGGTTGACGTTGTTGAGTGATGTCTAATCAGGTTAGTATTTGGGCATTTACTTCGGGAGTTACATGCGCGGAGTTCGTTGATTCGCACCGATTAGGGCGCGTGAAGAAGAGTTGGAACATCGGTGACTTGCTTCGGTTTTTCGATTTTGACTGCAATGGAAGTTTCGTTACCCATTAGCATCGAACTGGCCACGGTGACTCACAATTGGCTTTCAATTGCAAGTTATGCAGAGTTTGTGCTGGCTAGGACCGCACAACAGGATCCAAGTCGAATAGATGGATTCTCAGCTAGTCATCTCGGACATGGTGGAGGGGGACAGGATCCAAATGCAAGTCAGTGGAGAAATTACCTCAACATTTTCATCCGAGGTTCGATTGCTATCGCTATGCTTCGACCGTTGCCCAAATTTTAAGTTTCGTTCAGTGTATACCTTTACGGTCTTCCATATTTTTCGAAAGAGATGCTTTGTCAGAGCGCGAGTCCTTCATTTATAAATAAACTGAGATTTTTTGTTCCGCTTCAACTTTCTTATTGAGATTCTCGCACAGCCTACATCTCATATACAATGTCGCTAGTGTGATGAAGTCCTCGATGACTTGAAGGGCTGCAAATTTTTTCCCGTGTTAGGGTTTTCATAAATTATTTCATAAAACCCTAGCTGGAAGTTTTCCGAAATCCACATTGAGTGGCAGCATGATCTGCCCTGAATTGTTAGGATATGGTGCATTGCAGCAGGGTTTTTTAAAATCAGAGATGTCGTTCTCAGCGAATCTGTCGCTGAATCTAGCGAATGTTAGTCTGTGCAGCCATTGACTTGAGTACCAGTGCTCCGCCCTCTTACCATCAACATCTCGTAACTAAGCACATGCTTTTGCAGATTGGAATCGGTTCTGACAGGCGACCTAGTGTCTCAGGTCCAAGTCGCCCTGATGTCATTACTAAGCCCACCTCCAGCTCAAGCCATCTCCCGCCTCTCTGTGCCACAAAGTCTGGGAAAACCCCTGCTGCTCATGGGCAAGTACCTCGACCGCATTTACGATCCAGAGCGTCACTTGAAAAGAACAAGATAAACATTATTTTGACAGGAACGCCGCTACTTACAAACCCTGGTATTCCTTCAACATCTTTGTCGGATAAGAGGACATCTTCATTACCGGTGCCGCGGGCAAACGCGCATTCTTCTGGAAGCAACTCAGATTCCGTCAAAGGACACAGCCATGAATTGGCAATTAATGTTGTGAGTGCTTTTCATGGACATTCCGCTTTTCCCATTCCCGATCCTAGTTTTCTAACCACGTTGATTCTTCGGCGGCGTATTATCGCTGACCGTCGGTACCTTTGCATTGTAACCGTATGAAGTGTTCCAGCTCGTGCTCTAAACTTCACAAGCTAAGCAATATCAATTTGTGTTGCAGCCAGGACATGAGAAAGTGAATCCGATCATCCGATCATTCTCCACGCCCGTGTTTATAGATAAGGCAGACAGTTTTCGCAGGGATGGAAAAGGGTATGTGCTGGTTAGATCTGCCAGTCCGAGACCATCATCTGCGCAGCCACCTCGGGAAAATAATGAATCAAGTGGTGTCAGTCACTCCCATGCCTCAACAGAATTCGATGTTGAGAAAGGTGAGGATATTGCTTATTGTTGGGTATGTTTCTACCTTGTCGGCTTTTGTATTAAGATACAGTATCAAAGAAAGTGATTCATACAAAATGATTGTGGTACAAACTGCAGGGAAGGCATCCGCCAAGGACGAAGTAGAAGAGGCGATTTCTGAGGAAGAAGCAGTGTGTAGAATCTGCATGGATTCTCTTACAGAGGATCATGGTGAGATTTTAAAAATGGAGTGTCGCTGCCGTGGTGAGATGGCTCTGGCACACAAGGAATGTGCATTTAAGTGGTTCGGTATCAAAGGAGATCGAGTGTGCGACGTGTGTGGCTCTGTTGTGCAAAACATTCCAGTGACAGTAGTTCGATATTCTGGTCATGAGCAAACAGTCAGTCATTCACGATCTATAGATGCACAAACTGTGAATAGGTACGCATTACACCTCTTATCGATTCCTCTTAATAATCACACTGTTATATGAACTATGAGGCTCTTGAATTATGTTTCTAAGAGATCATGCGATTTATTGGAGTAAATCGTTGTCTTATATTTATGCCTTCTTCGAGCATTTTGTGTAGCATGCAAGGGATTCAGAAACAAAACAGACGGGACATGTGGTTCTTAGGACTGAGTGCATCATCTTACCTTCAAAGATACCACTGAACTGATACAAATCTAGCGTAATGTTATGCAGAGTCTCTGTGTGGCAGGATATCCCTGTTATGGCTATTATCAGCACGATGGCTTATTTCTGCTTCATTGAGCAATTGCTGGTACTTGCCTTCGCCCACAGTAGACAGGAACTTTCACTGAAAGTTAGCTAGTATTGCTCTTGCAGAGCCCCAAAACATCTTCCTAAATGTCGCTCGTCGTCCCATGATTTATGCTTTAGTAGTGAGAGCCTGAGACGTATGCTTTGGAGATTGTTTTCGGGCTGAACTCACAATGTTCGAGGCGTTTGTGGGGCTGTTGTGAGGTCCATTATTGAATCTTCCTGTGTTTGCTTCTGCAGGTCAACAAATTGGGTACCAAAGCGCTTGCCATATCGATTCCTTTTTCAATCATCATAGGTCTCCTTGCTTCAGTTACCACTATTGCTCTAGGTGAGTTTCCTTTCTTGATAAACTATTTTTCCCTAAGATTTTTATCTTTGTTTTTATTCATTATTTTGTTCTTCTGCCATATTAGTTATTATTATTGAGGGGCAATTAGTCATTTTCATCATTTCAGAGTAATCTCGAAGCTGATGCCGGTCTTAGGAGGCTACGCGGTGGAAAACATTCTATACAGGTTAATTGGTGATACTATTGGTTGTGTGTTCTCAGTTAGAAAACCAATACATGCTAACGTTGAATCATTTTCGATTCTATATTTTCCGACTCTAACTTCACCATAATAATCGTCGGGTTTTGATTCTTTACGGAGGAGGGTGAGAACAATGTGCTAAGTGTGAGGTGATTATGGTGGCATGCAGTTACTAAGCGGTATATTTGGCTGTACGCCTCTGCTCAATTTGCCCTCGTCTGTATGTTTGGATACGTGTTTTTCTTTATGGTAGGTTATTGTACATACGACTCATTTCTGCATCGACTCAATGACGCTATCCATTGTTGACATACGATTCATCGTAGGACATGCATGATCAAACTTGACAAAGGAAGTGTTTCTCTAAAGCTTGATTCGTGGACCACCTTCTGATTTCCCTGTCACGCATTAATTCTGGAATGCAGACTAAGTTGGAGGCCGTTTTAGCAGTACTCCTCGCAGCTTTTTCGGGGTTTGGCGTAGCCATGACCAGCAACGCTCTCATCCTAGAATACATGCACTGGAAGACTTACACGGCTAGAAGGGCCCAACAAGCAGCAAGTGTTATGGATGTAGAAGTCTCATTTCGACAAGAATCTGCAAGCGGTGAACTAGCACCAGCTAGTTCGCAGTGGTCTCGAGAGCTGAACACCTCGCAGGTCTCCAGTGTTTTAGATATCGGAAGTGACTCTGCAACTGCAAGGAGTCCTAGCTCCCGCAGCCAGGCTCCTTCAGAGACCCACTCCATGCACTGTTCATGAGAGCTGGAAGGTTGGGATTCTTTTTGTTTTTCTCTCGCATAATATTCAAAAATGACAATTCTTGTAATTGAGTGAGTTAATAGGGGCAGTTTCTTGATTCAGGAGCTTGAGCTGATATTGACCGCGTCAGGTCTCAGTGGCACCCTCGACTGTAGCTTTATGGTCAATCGCATTTTTTGGTGCGCCTTTCTCAGCCCAAAGTTGAGTGATTTCTGGAGCTCTTAAACTTTGTATTGTAAGGTATAGAACGTGACTAGATGTTCGGAGTGCGCCTCTCCGTATGTAGACATTGTTAATTTAGCATATAAAATCGAGCAATGTTATTGAGTTGATAGGTTTACCATTGAACACTTGAATTATTTATTGCTACGACATGTGGCCAACTTGAATTTTAGAAGTGATTGGCATCATTTTGTGCCTGCAAGGTACACTACATTGCGAATAACTGAATTGTTTCCCAAGGAAATCATATTTAGTGTTGTGGATGTCAGGTAGCTTGAGAAATATTTTTTGGAATCGGTTTCTCAAAATCCTTACCCTGATGACAGAGTGCCATGCATATGCATATTTTTCATTGGTATTCTACCTAGTTTGTGTTTTTGGTTAGTTGTTGAAAACGTTTCGTTGAGATGTCAGTTCATATTGTTGGACAGGATGTTATAGACAGATTACTTCACTGATCAGTGGAATTATTTGCACATTTAATGTGCAGATTCGCATGAGGATGCTAAAACGCTTTTGCTACTCGTGATCTGAATCACAGAGATGCAGTTTTATGCAGTGACTTCCTTGTTAGAGGTATAACCCTACAGGTCAATGTCGGATATTAGGGCCATTATCAACAGAAACTAAAGTGGATGGCATTGTTTCCTTTTGAGGGACTGTAGGGGCTACGACCTTTTTAAGGCTAGGAAGGCATGCGTACTTGAGTAATTGTCCGTGAATGATTACTCAGATCCTGAGTGGGTGAACCTCCAGGTTTCTCTTGGAACTGATATCCTAGTTTGCAGCATTGTTCGATAGTCAACACAGCAACACAATATAATTGTACCTGTAACGGCCAAAACGCCACTTTGAGACAGAACCAAACCAATCAGCGGTGGGGTTCCATGTTCCTATTGTGAACTGGCTGCCCACAAACACGAGACGGGCTCTGCATCTCTAGGGTATGTGTAACTGTCAAACTCTTTTTGAAGAAAGAACGGAAAGCGAACAGGCTGCTGATTTCTCATTAACTTCAAGGTTGTTGTGTCTACAACGGCAAGTTAACTGTCTTCTTCAAGGAAACTAACTGCACCTTGCATAACGTTGTTATATGGAAATAAATGCATTCTTCATTAGCTTCTTTCAATTGCATGGTTCATGTTCTATTGCTGTCAAGCTTGACAACATCCACGAGGTTTTGGGATTCTGATTGTGCAGAGTTCGTTGGCGAGAGTGGGAACAATGGATGCGTGGTGGCATTTGACTTAAGCTCATTTTATTAGTGGCATTTCTAGATGTGTCGTCATTGCTCAATTTACAATTAAAGTGAAGTGGAAGTGGGAAAGACGTGAAATCATGCGTAAAAGTAAATACCAATTAGACTTTGCATTATATTCTTTAAAAAAAAATAAAAAATAAAAAATAACGTATTGAAATCTCAATCATTTAATAACTCACTCACAAACGGCCATCTAAGCCACTTCTCTCACTCCACCCTCTAAACAACGACCTTATTAAGTGAATAACAAACACATCTCAAACTCTTTTTCTTTTAAATCCTTGTGATCCGTACAAAATAGAACCAGTATTTTTGCCATACCTACAGATGGATTTCACATTTATGTTTACATTCCAGCACCAGACAAGTTTACATTTCAAAGGCAAAAGGTTTAGAAAGAGTTATGATTTGGGACGCTCCAAGTAAAGTCCTCCGCAGATTTGCAACTCTCAACAGGCTATGAATGCATCAGTATGTCGTATCAAACAATTACTACAACAGCAACAAAAAGAGAAGAAAAGGAAAGAAAATATGTGTATAGATATGTATAATATACATATAATACACTTTCGAGTATCGTACGAAAAGATTACGACGATATGTACGCAAACGAATACGACGGCGATGACTAGGAAGAAGAAGAAGAATAGGTTAGGCAAGCGCCAGGACAGAATTCATGAGCCACACCGCAGCGTCGGCAAAGTACCCCACTTCGAGCACGGCTCCCCCAGCGATGAGGACCGGCCCTGAGGCATCTTGCACTCTATGCCCTGGCATTAGCATTAGCAGCAGCAAAGCGAGTGCCCTTTCCAGGGTGGTACCCAGTGAACCCCGCTTTCAACTCGCAGCACTGCTGCAGAATTGCCATTTTGCAGTAGATTTTGCCACTGGTCAACGTTCTGCGAGAACCTTCTGCAATCCACTCCAGCCACGCTTGCCCCCGACTACCCCACTGCCGTTGTACTTCCAGTACAATACACAAATGCCTTTATTCAAAAGTACATAAAACCTGTAGTTTCACCTCTCTCAGCAATCTGTGCCTTCTCAGTCTCGCCTCCTCAGTTCCATTCACGCTATTCCTTCCACTTTCGATGCGTGTCAGTGGGTGTTTCCATTGTGGGTGATTTCGTAAATTCTGTGAGGTGAAAATTATGGTTTTTGAGAGTTTTTTAAAGTAAGAGATGTAGTTTGAGGTTTTGGATTTTGAGAAACGAAAAGAAGTTTACATATTTAAGGAATTTGTGGGTGTTGTAGGAAATTTATGAATAAAATTTTGTGAGTTTGTTATTGTGCTTGTTTTAATTGTGTTTTGCAAATTTGATGTCAATCAAATGGTTAGAATGAAGGATATGGGAGTTTTAATAGATTAGGGTCTTGGATATTTGAATTTTAAGATTAGTGAGGTTTTATGTGATCTTGAGAAATCCGTTGGTTCAATTGAAGCAAAATTTTGTGAAAGCATTTTGGACTTGGATATCTACACATTTGCTAATTTATAAAGCAATTGAATGGTTCAACAAGGACTAATTGTTGCATAAAGATCAACCTTCAAGTTTGAGATGGAGGATGGCCAACATCTCAGAGTATTATGAGCTCTTTCTTCCAATTGGTAAGTTTGATTTTTCTCAAAATTTATCCTTTTGGTATTTGCTTGAAGATTGAAAAAAATAAAATAAAAAAATAAATAAAATAAAATAATTAAAATCAATAGTTCAATTAATTGCTATTAGGTTTTCAAAACAACTATAGGATTTATTTAGGATTTGATAAAGATTTGATTAGGATTTACTTAGAATTTGTTTAAGATTTGTTTAGGATTAATTTAGAATTTTATTAGAATTTTTTTAAGATTTATTTAAGGCCACATTAGAATTTGATTAATTTTTTTATGAGTTTTATTTTTAGTATTTAAAAATATTCTTTATTATTTTTTTAGAATTTTCTTATTATTTTTTAAGGTTAATTTATGATTTCTTTATTTTTTTATAATTTCCTTAGGACTTCTTTTGGATTTGATTAAGATTTGATTATGATTGTTAAGCTTTAATTAGAATTTATTTAGGATTCTACTAGAGTCATTTGAACCTTGTTCTTACAATTTTCAATTCACCTTCTACAAACAAAAGCCAAATACATTTTCAAGTAAGAATTCATATAATGTGACAATGCATGAGTTGGAATATTAGCCAAGCTAGATACAAATATAATAAATGCATGTTTTTTTGTTATGTGAAAATCAACATGTAAATAGACTTGATATTTGGCTGTTTAAGGATTTAATCTTACTTTGAAGTTGGATTTATAACCCAAAAAAATAAATAAGATGTTTAGAAACAACTTATTGGCAATTTTGAACAATCTAAGTAAGCTCTTAATTATGCTAAATACCTCTTATTAATCTTTAAAAAAATCCTAAAAAAATATTATTATTTTAATCAAAATTTTGATTAAATATTGATTAAATCTAAAATAATTCTAATCAAATTTTAACTAAATTAATTAGTAGATTTTAAACCTCAATAATTTTTAATTTGATCATTGATATTGATTTAATATTTTAATAATTTTTAATATATTATTTGATAATAAGCTCATATTAATAAATTTATTTTTATATTATACTATATATTTTAATAGATAATCTAATTCTTTCATAATATTTGCATGACCTATTTTTTTAAATGCTTCTAATATAATTATATTATCAATCAATTTTTTAATTATTCTTTAAGTTTTGATCAATATTTTTATTATAATATTTTTCATCTTTTTTATCTTGTTAGTAGTCTTAAATGATAATAGATAATCTTACGTCAATCTAATAAGTCTAATACATTTTTATTTTTTAAATATTATGTAAAAACCTTTTTTTACTTAAACTATTACAATCTTGCTTTACAATGGTATATAGTAAAACCCTCAAGGTGTTCAAAATCTCTACTATGTTAAATTTTTTTATAATAGTATTTTTACTTAAATTTTTATAAACTAAAAAAATCTAAAGATAGAAAACAAATGATTATATAATAGCATCAAGTTCTCCAAATTTAATAAACTAAGGTATTTAAGACATGCTATTGTACCATCTTGCAACTTTGGCAAAGATGCATGTCTTGTACTTCCTTGTAATTTGAGGTTAATGAAAGCTAAAAAGCCATCTTTTCTATCAAAAAATAGTTGAAATTTCTATATTAGAATTTGCATCTTAACATATTTAAACTTTTTATGCAAAATCATGAGCATTTCTTGATTATTATATGACTTATTTTTTATTCTTTTTCATGGTAAAAATCATATTGGCTTAACTATACTTCAATACCAATTTATGAAAAAAAATATATTTATTTTTTTATTATTTTAATAGATATATTTTTTTAGAATATTAAAAGATATATATATATATATATATATATTATTTTTTTAAACAAAAAATAAGAATCATAATCATAAAATATGAAAGATGAATTATAAAATAAAAAATAAAAAACAAAATAAATTTGATCTAAATCAAGTTGTTCATAGAGCAATAATATGCATAAAATTGAAATAAGCGGTTTAAAAATTACTATTATAGAAAAAATCTAAGAGTAATCTTATTAGTTAATATTGTGTATGTAAAACATGGATCACAAAGTATATATTTTCAAATACTCTAAAAACAATGTTAATATATAAAATGTCATGTGATATGGTATTGGGTGCCAAATTCCATCAAATATATGTAGTTTAGTTTGATTAGTGATATTTCATCCATTGATGATTTTTTTTGTTAATTGACTTTATTCATATCAATTAAGATTTGAATACTTAAGTAGAAAAAAACCCTTAACTTGACATTCTTGATAAGTCGAGTCTTGTGAGTGATTTTGAGAGTGAAAGAACTTGTTGTAAGGATTTGCTTGGCTATGCTGATTTGGCCATTTTAGTAAAGCTTTAGGGTTTCTCTTATTTTCACACTTGTACTCTTGGATTTCCCTTTTGTGGTGTACGAGATAGCTTGATTTAGTTTGGTGTAGATTTCTAATCTTGCCTTGAGAATGATGAATATGCATTTGTATTTAGTTTAAATTACATACTTTATGATTGATTTATAGCACTCAATGTTTCTTGTATAATCATATTTTTTTAAAAAAATAAAAATAATAAAGTAAGCTATGGCATATCATATAATTATATATAATATAAATTTATCTTAAATTTATAGATTTTTATTTTATTACAAGATGAAGTTGTTTCACAAAAGAATATTTTATTTTACTTAAAAAAGATATTGATTTGAAAAATAATATGTTTATATATAATATAATTTAATTATATAATTTTAAAAAAAAATTATAGTTTAAAAATCACATATGAATTCTTGTTGGTTTTATTATTTAATTGATATTGTAAATTGAATTTTTTAATTTTTATGTTTTGATTTTTTGTATTCAATTATTATAATTTCATATCTATATATACATACTTACGTAAATCATTTGTTTATTTTACTTCTTAATAATATTTCAAATGTCAAAATCAATTCAATCTGTTATGCTCACAATTTATGTTTTTATTAAAAAAAAAACCTCTAAATCATCAAAGATATTTATCACTAAAAATTTAGTCTATTGGATGAATATTGAACCACAAATAATTTTCTATGTATTTTATCTATTTCTATATTTTTATACGTAATAATACATATATATATATATATATATATATATTTTTTCAAATAAAATCCATCAAAATAAATATAAAAATAATTCAATTCATGTAGAATTTATCTATAAAAAATATAATATAAATTGATATATTTTTAATTAAAACAAAGATATAACCACCTTATAAATCAACTCGACATAATATTCAATTTACAA